CCGTCGAAGAGTCCCTGGGCTTCACCCCTTCACGTGGTTCCCAAAAAAGACGGCAGCCTTCGACCGTGCGGCGACTACCGTGCGTTGAACGCGCGTACGGTACCGGACAGGTATTCACCCCCGCATATTGAAGATTTCGGCCATCATTTGTACGGGAAAAAGGTATTCTCAAAAATAGATTTGGTGAGAGCGTATCACCAAATACCCGTAGCACCCGGCGATATCGAAAAAACCGCAATTACTACCCCTTTCGGTTTATTCGAGGCTGAAAACATGATGTTTGGTCTTCGGAATGCTGCACAAACGTGCCAGACGTTCGTCGATGAGATAACCCGTGGTTTAGATTTTGTTTTCGCGTACATAGATGATTTTGTAATAGCCTCTGAAGACGAGAAGCAGCATTACGAACATTTAGACATCTTGTTCAAGCGATTTAGTAAATACGGTGTTGTAATTAATCCCGCGAAATGTGTTTTCGGCGTGAAGGAAATATCTTTCCTCGGGTATTCCGTTACATCGGCCGGAATAAGACCTTTAGCCGAACGCGTGGACGCTATTGTAAATTTTACGAAACCCGAAACGGTAAAACAGCTCCGCAGGTACTTAGGTATGATCAATTTTTACCGTCGGTTTGTACCTGGGGCTGCTAGAATTTTAAGTCCTTTAAATTCATTGTTAAAAGGATCGAAAAAGGGAAATGCGTTAATTCCTTGGACAGAGGAGTCGGAATTAGCATTTAAAGAATCAAAGCGTGCTTTAGTCGACGCGACCATATTAGCACACCCCGTTCCTGGCGCCGCGCTTAGTCTAGCTGGCGATGCGTCGAATTTTGCAATAGGGGCAGTCTGGGGCAGTACTACAGCAATATATTGATAATGCTTGGCAACCACTAGGTTTTTTCACCAAGACTCTATCCTCTGCACAGCAGAAGTATAGCGCATATGATCGCGAGCTGCTCGCTATTTATGCAGCAGTGAAAAGATTTAGATATGCTGTGGAGGGTAGAGATTTTGTAATATTCAGTGACCATAAACCGCTAACTTTCGTTTTTTCACAAAACCTAGATAAATGTTCACCTAGACAGTTTCGATATTTAGATTACATCAGTCAATTTACAACCAATATTAAATATATTAAAGGATTAGAAAACGAGGTTGCCGATGCATTGTCCCGCGTCGATACTATTTCGGAAGCTGTAAATCACAAGACGCTTGAAGCTGCACAGAATATAGATAGTGAGCTTCGAGGTCTGTTAGAATCGTCAACAGCGTTGAAATTAAAGAAAATCCGTTTTCCGGATCAAGACGCGGAGATTTATTGCGACTTAGAAAATAATGTTGTGCGACCCTATGTTCCGAGGCCCTTAAGGCGAAGTGTTTTCAATTCTTTACACAACCTTTCGCACCCAGGGGTACGCGCATCCCAAAAATTAGTTGTCGACCGTTTCGTCTGGCCATCCATCAATAAAGATTGCAGGACTTGGGCACAGCAGTGTTTACAGTGCCAAAAATGTAAAATAACGAGACACGTGTCTGTACCCAACGGTTCATTCGGGAACTTAGCCGGTCGGTTCGAACATGTCCATCTAGACATCATAACAATGCCATATTCGCAGGGGTATAAATATTGTCTGACCTGCGTCGATCGGTTTTCCCGATGGCCAGAAGCCGTTCCCATTGCCGACATGGAAGCATCAACTGTTGCCTCAGCATTTATTTCTACATGGGTGTCTCGTTTTGGGGTTCCTTTGCGAGTTACGACGGACCAAGGACGTCAATTCGAGTCATCATTGTTCAAAGAACTTTGTAAATTGTTAGGATCACAGCATATACGTACAACTGCTTACCATCCCCAAGCTAACGGTATGGTCGAACGACTACACCGTCAGTTAAAAGGCGCCATAAAATGCCATGACACGGACAATTGGGTTGAAACCTTGCCCATTGTTCTATTAGGCATTCGCGCTACAGTTAAAGAAGATTTAAAGGCAACAGCTGCGGAAATGTTGTACGGTACTAAAATTCGTTTGCCAGCAGATTTTTTCGTACCGACAAATCAGGAGGCAAATTCTAATTTTGTTAAGAGACTAAAAGATCGGATAAAAGATATAAAACCCCGCCCAGCTTCGTGTCATAATCGAAAAACAACGTTTATATTTAAAGAATTATTAGAATCACCGTATGTTTTCTTGCGACATGATGCGGTTAAGAGTTTATTGCAGTCTCCATATGACGGTCCATACGAGGTAATTGAGCGTGGGGAGAAAAATTTCACAATTCGGATTAATGAGAAAAATGTAAAAGTTTCAATAGATCGGTTAAAACCTGCGTTTTTAATATCTAGCGAATTAGAATCAGAATCGAATAATAACGAGCAGGAAACAGAAATACTTATCGAAACTCGCACCGAACGAAATGTGTTACCGCGCGATGATAATTCGAACCGCTTGACGACACGCTCTGGTAGAGTAGTTCGTTTTCCAGTGCGTTTTCAGGCTGGTTTAAATTAGGCGAATTTGCATTTTTTTTATAGAACTAAGTTGTAATTTTATGCGTTAGTGTTACTATAGTTGTATATATTAGTTGTAAGTTAGGTAGCATAGGTTAGTTAGGGTTATTAACTGTGCAAATTCGTTAGCCCTCCTCTGTCCGATAGAATAATAACATTTTACGAAATGATGAACATTGTAATTGTTTCTTTTCGTGAACAAGTCACTGGTAGGGGGGTACTGTGGCGACAGGGAAAGTTCCGAGTGGGAAGCGAGGTCTGGATTTTGTCAAAGACCTTTTGACCCGTCGAGTCAATAGAGTCATTAAGTTGTAAATAATTTTGCGCTGGCTCGGCGGGTCTAAGAGGCCCTCGGCCCTTTCCACTCGGGACTTCCTTAAAAAGGAGAGAGTTTTCTCCTTCGTCGGAAAATGTTTTTCGGGAGACATTCGAGTCTCGACCATCAAAGTTATCGCATCGCGCTATTGTCAATAAAGTATTTCGCCACATACACGATTGTATTCATTCACGTACATCACCTCAACATTATCGGTATCACTTCATCTGGAAGTTTTATTCCGGCCTTATTTAATTTTTGTACCGCACGAGTAAATTCATTTACATAATCCGTCATAGATGTACCCGTGTCCTTTTTCATGCGATAGAGCCGCTTAAATAACAAGCATTTCTTCATAGGCCCCTTAGAGGCGTAAATTTTCCTTAGCGTTTCCCACGCATCAAAAGAAGTACTGTCCAGAGTACGAGTGAAAAGTAGCGGGACGGGAACGGGGCAAAGAGGGTAGGCCGCTAGGACCACCTAATTCCCACTTTTCGACTCACGCGTAGCTCCCACCGTTCATCCGTAATGGTGTGGTTTTACATAGGTATAGAAACAGATATTGCTACTATATGTTAAAAAACTCTATCTTTTTCCTCTTACGCGATGCGTAAAACTTTTGGACATTACGACAATGGAATGCTGCTCAACGTATCGCTCGTTCTGTCTCACTTGTTCTACATATATCTGACCCACTCTCCGCGTCACGCGACCGATTAATGTATGTGTGCGCCTCGACAAATAGCGTGTTATTGCCAAAATGCGTGTGACAATAGGCAGCAACGTTACAATCCGACCACTGCGATGCTCTTTTCGTCCCTCTAGCCCCGTTCCCGTCCCGCTACTTTTCTCTCGTACTCTGGACAGTACTTACATTATTGAGGTGCGTGTATTGGTCAGTTTGAACACACAGCATGATCAGGTCCAAAGCCTTACCGTCTCTAATGTCCCATGCTGCACTGTTCTCTTGGGTTTTTACTATATCCCTTGTCACATATCCCCATAGATCATTGTATCGTAAAAGGAACTTCATCTGAACCTTCCAAGACTCATAATTTCCGTTGTTCAGCTTCTCCACGTGTTGCACATTTAAGATATTGGCGGCCATCGTTCTCTTTTAATTATTAACAACGCACGTTTTCGCAGGGCTATTTTTCCTATTCTATTTAATTATATCGGTTTCACGCACTAAAACCGTTCTCTGGGCCCATAACCTGATGCGATTTAATATATTTTATTCAAAGATTCAACGAACATATTAAGATTACAACCGATTACACGATACATTTCCGACGCTCTGCTGCACGCGGTCGCCTCGCACGCACTGATAAGTTTTGAACAAGCGCGAATCGGTTCCGAACCCTCCCGAACGCACACGAGGCATGCAGTTGCATTCCTTACAAATAAGACAGTCGTGCAAGATCAGACCATTACAGCATTACCTGAGAAAAAGTTTTCACCCCGGGACAAAAAATATACAATATAACAGTTTAGTAGATAAACAAAATATGTATTTGCCGCCACTTCATATTAAATTGGGAATTATGAAAAATTTCGTAAAAGGCATGGACAAAAACGGAGCAGCTTTTGCATATTTAAAATTAAAATTCGCAGCTTTGTCGGAGGCAAAAATTAAGGAAGGCATTTTTATAGGACTACAAATGCGCACCCTATTTAAAAATGAAGAATTTGAAAACCATTTGTCACCAATAGAAAAGAATGTGTGGGTAGCGTTTAAAAACACTTGTGCAAATTTTTTTGGATTGCACTGTTCAACAAATTACGTACAAATAGTTGAGCAATTGCTTCAAGCCTGTAAAGAAATGGGGTGTAACATGTCACCAAAAATGCATTTTTTACACTCTCATTTAGACTTCTTTCCTGAAAATCTGAGAAACGTGAGTGATGAGCATGGTGAACGATTTCATCAAGATATTGGTGTTATAGAAAAACGCTGCCTTGGAAAAGATGTAGTTTCTATGTTAGCAGACTATTGTTGGCAGTTAAAGAGTGAAGGAAAAGAAGTACTGTTAAGCCGCAGCAAGGAAACAAAATCAAACACTACCAAAAAATTACTACTTTCAAGGTTTATTGCAAAGGTCCGAGATCACGTACAGAGCACTGTGGTAAAGATGGACAGACTCAGGATAACTCAACTGTTTTGGGGAAATGTTCGGGGTTTTTATGCCCTTCGAAATACAAACTATGACGCTTAGATTGATAGGGCGGTTGTGACGCATGGAGGATGACGACGGTGTTGGTTTCGGTTATCGGTGCCCTTTGAAAGTATACGATGACTATGGAGGATGAGACATCGATGGTAATGTGTCATATCATAACAGTACATAAACGTCAAGCAAGAAGAAACTATTTTTAAATATGTATATTCTCACCGGTCAAACGACATAAACAAGATAACGCGTGGTCCAGACGTCGCAAACAAGATAAGCCAAAAACGGCAACGCAATCAAGAGATAAGAAAAGTATAAAAGGAGAAGCAGACCGGCGCGCGCGACAATATTATAAACGCAGATCCTCAGAAGCGAAACATTCGAGATACTCAGAGCTCAGGTTTCGGACGAGTCGTATTGCGAGATCATTCTATTGCGACAAGTGTATTCATTGTAAAGTAGTGTAGTGATTAAGAAATAAAGTTTTTAAAAACATAAACTGATCGCTTTCCCGCGTAACATAAAATTGGTGGCAGCGGTGGGATCTGCTGAAATCGTTGCGAAGTCGACGTAGCTGCGAAGACAGCCAGTGGATCTTGAACCTACAACGGGAAAGAAGGAAGAAGAAAAAGAAGAAGAGCGAATCCTTTAAGAAAAACAAACGACAAAAAGCATCGAGAAAGCAGATCAAGATAAGATGGCTGAAATGGAAGCTATTACCAAAATGCTTTCCGAAATTACGAGTCGACTGGAGAGACTAGAAACTAGGGGTGATAGCCTACGGAGAGAGGACCCCCTTGCTAGATCCTCTAACTCGATATTAACAAACGATGATGACTCCGAACCTTCTCCGTATACATTGAATGAACTACTAGGAACGGTATCCGAATTTGATAGAGAAACACTACCGGTAGAAACGTTTATTTGTCAAGTAGAAACAGTCAAATATAATGTACAAAAGGAAAGATCTCAATTATTGCTTGGAAGCATATTAGCTCAGAAAATAGTTGGAAAAGCTAGAACTGTAATACGTGCTGAAATGATAAGAACATTCGAAGATTTGAAAAACCAATTAAGACAGAATTACGGCTCTCCAATCGATTCGACATTGCTACAATTGCAAAGAATTCAATGCAGACAGAATTTTAAAGAACCTGTAAATTCGTACATATCGCGATTTATGAGAATACATGACGCCGCTTTAAATGCCGCACTGAGCAGACCTCTCCTGGCTGAACAACGTGAATTATTATTTGAGAAGGAAAAACGAAAAGGAATAATTGATTTTATAAATGGATTAGAAAGAGAAACGCGATTAGAAGTAAAAACGTCGAACCCTCAATCCATTCAAGAAGCGATAAACGCGGCTCGAATGTCCGAATTGATGCAACAAAGAAACGATTTATTCAGATCAAACCCAATAAGAGTTCAAAATCGTACAAATTTTAATACACAGAAATCACAGCAAAACCTTCGAAATTTCAATACACGAAGACCCCAACAAAATTTCCAAACTCGTTCAAATACAGTTAAACAGCTAATGCAAGGTCAAGTAAAACAATGTAATTATTGCAAAAGGATAGGACACGACGAAGTTGAATGTAGAACAAAACGATTTCAAAATTTTCGAATACGTCAAGAATTCCCAGAAACCCCACCAGCACACGCTATATCGAACGACCAAGAACAAGACCCAGAGCCAAGAGACCCCCAAAACGAGGACCTCCAATAAATAACCAACGAACAATTACAAAAATTAACACGGCTTTCGGCAACCAATTGACATACGTCACTCTTCAACTCGATAACGTGAAAACTGGTAGATTTTTAGTAGACTCAGGCGCTGCAGTCTCATTATTGAGAGAATCTATGATTACTGACAAAAATAAAATAGTAAGGCAAAATACACGCGAAATAAGAACATTATCCCAACATACTTTTAAAACAGCAGGCGAATTCGGAACAAAATTATTGGGCAAAAATTTAAAATTTTTGGTAGTAAAAGATGAAATAATGCAAGAGGACGGATTACTTGGGATAGATTCATTAAGAACATTACATTGTACATGGGATATTTGTCGAGGACAGTTACAATTAGAAAATACAGTATTCACACGAAAAGATAATACTGAGGAAACAACCATACCACCGAAAACGAGTAAATTACAGAAAATCAAGGTAACGAATATTCAAAACGGTGAAGCCAAAATAACCCTAGAGGACATAGACATGCTAGTTACGGTAAAGAATGGAATCACCCAGATACCCGTTAACAACTTGAGCGAAACGGCGACAAAAACAATAAAAACGACAGAAGTATTAGGTCGAAAAATTGAGACATCAGATTTCCTCAAGAGCCCCAAATCATTAACCAAAGAACACGAGGAATTTCTAAAACAAAACATCCGTCTAGATCATATTAGGGATGGAAAGGAACAAATATGGGAAATAATAAAAAGATACCACGATATTTTTGTATTACCCGGAGACCCCATACCACTAACCTACTTAACCGAGCATTCTATAGAATTGACAGATCCGACTCCGATTCACACGAGACAATATAGATTCCCTCCGATTCATCAAGAAGAGATAGCGAATCAGGTAAAGAAGATGTTAAAAGAAGGAATTATTAGAGAAAGTAACTCTCCCTTTAATTCACCACTTTGGATAGTACCGAAAAAGCCAGATGCGTCAGGGAAGAAGAAATGGAGATTGGTTATAGATTACAGAAAATTAAACGAACGAACAAAACAAGACTCATATCCACTTCCATTAATAGACGAGATACTCGATAAATTAGGTAACGCGAAATATTTTTCGGCATTTGATTTGGCCTCAGGATTTCATCAAATAGGCATGAGAGAAAAAGATAAATCAAAAACTGCATTTTCTACTACTGACGGACATTACGAATATAATAGAATGCCATTTGGATTAAAGAATGCACCAGCTACCTTCCAAAGAATGATGAACAATGGCCTAAGAGGATTAATAGGAAATACGTGCTTCGTTTATATGGACGATATAATAGTATTCGGAACTACTCTTGAAGAACATAATAGAAATTTACAAATTTTGCTCGAGCGATTATCAAAATGTGGATTAAAATTACAACCAGACAAATGCGAATACCTTAAACCAGAATTATCATATTTAGGACATATAATATCTGCCGAAGGAATAAAACCAAACCCAGAACGAATCGAGAAGATAAAAACTTACCCAATACCTAAGAATCCAAAAGAAGTCAAACAATTTCTAGGATTAGCTGGATATTATAGGAAATTCATAAAGGATTTTTCGAAAAAGGCGTCACCATTAACTACATTATTGAAAGACAAAGTTAAATGGAAATGGGAAAATGAGGAACAGAATGCTTTTGATACATTACGAAACGCTCTTTGTGAAGAACCAATTCTTATTTATCCCGACTGGAATAAAACATTCATACTAACCACAGACGCAAGTAATGAAGCAATTGGAGCTGTACTTTCCCAAGGAATTATCGGACAAGATAGACCTATAGCATATGCATCGAGAACCCTCAATAAAGCGGAAAGAAATTACTCGACAACTGAAAAAGAACTACTAGCTATAGTATGGGAATCAAGCACTTTCATCAGTATTTGTACGGACGAAAGTTCAAAATAATCACCGATCACAAACCCCTAACTTGGGTGATGAACGTCAAGGATCCGACTTCTAGACTTATGAGATGGAGAATGAAGCTAGAAGAGTACGACTACGAGATAATCTACAAGAAGGGTAAAAGCAATGCTAACGCGGACGCATTATCCCGCATTCTGAAAACGACGATACATATGATCGATGATGACGAAATGAATGAAACGATAGAAAACGTATTGAGCGACCTTCAGGAAGAAGCCGCTCCAACGTACAGCGAATTCAAGGATAACGAAGAAACGTTTGAAAGAGAAGAAACGCTGGAATACGACTCAGGGCGAGTATCCCGGAGAGGACTCGTCGTCACAACCAGCAGAACGAACAGGGGTCTATGCATTGATCCGAGTGCAGAAGAAGAAATATGGTACGCTGGTCTGAGAACCAAGGTACCAGAAGTCGATGAAATAGAAGTACGAATTGTCGACCCCTATGTAAAAGAAACGATCCTGAAAATGATCGAATTTATTCACAAAAGAAAAACGCCGGAGAAGCGTCTAATCGTAAAATGCAATACAGCAAAGGATCCAGAAACACAAGAAGAAAAGGAAAGACTAATAAAAAGCGTACATGAAAGCACCATAGGCGGGCATCAAGGAGTCGAAAGGACGCTCCAACGATTAAGGACCATGTATAATTGGTCGGGGATAACGAAAGACGTAGAGAATTTTATAAAGAAATGCGAGGTATGCCAAAGAGAAAGATTGAAATACACAGCTAACAGACCGCCCCCAGGAACTCCTGATGTACCATCTAAGCCTAATGATAAAGTGTCATTGGACACCATTGGACCATTACCATCAAATAGAAAATATCGCTACATATTAGTCATACAGGACTACTTAACAAGGTACGTGCAATTAGCTCCATTAAAAACAAAAACACCTAAGGAAGTCGCAGAAAATTTCTGGACATATTACTGTCAAATATTTGGAGTACTAAAGGAAATATTAACAGATAATGGATTAGAATTTAGAGGAGAATTCCAGGAATTTGTTGAAGAAAAGCTTAGAATTAAACATACAACAACTGCAGTGTATCATCCACAATCAAATGGAAAAAACGAGAGAACTCACAAGGAAGTATTCAATTATTTGAGAAATTTTATCGAAGAAAAAAACGAATGGGTTAAACTCCTACCTGACGCTACAATGTCATATAATAACACTTATAATGAAGTCACAGGAGTATCACCCTCTGAATTCATGTTTGGTTGGAAACCTTATGTTCCAATAGAAACACACGAAATGGAATTTGGACA